GCAAAGGACCCAAGGATCATGTGGGTGTCCCCAGCACCCGTGTCTGTCAGCCTGCAGTCACCTCTAACTCCAGGGGACCTGACACCCTCTTCTAGCCTCCACCTGGGCTGCGTTCGCACATGCCACACACCCACACAGAGACATCTACATCTACAGAAATTTTTAAAAAGTAAATAAACCTTAACGATATTTTACAACTGCTCAAATAATAAACATTCAGAAGCCATTGCTGCTAAAAGGTTAATCTAGAGCAAAGGAATCACACAGCAGTGGCAAAGCAATTGTCTGGATGAGCGAGAGGGTCGACAGGCCTCGGAACCCCCTAAGAGGCCCGCAGGTACACGCACACTTGGACGTCCACCACACACTGCACTAATAATAATAATAACAATAATAATAACAATAATAAATGCAGATAGCTAGGTACTTGTAAGAGATACAGCTCTTCTACACAGAGGAGAGATTTAGACCCATGTGGCTTCATCGTGTTCCTAAAACCACTAAGAGTCTAGGAGAAGTGGGACTCAGTTTAGAGCAAGCCAGTTCCTGGGGGTTCCCTTGCCAGGTCCACTGTCTGACCTAGTAGGGCCTGGAGATCAGACAGGACAGAAGGGAAGTCAGAGTGCCGCTTCACAGGCGAGGAGACACTCGAGGCCCAGGTGGTCCCAGGCCAGGCCACTCCTCCAGTCTTGTTCTCAGATGCTGTGTACTCTATCTAGCACAGGCCTCGGTGGCTGCAGGAGCTGTTCCTGTAACCATGTGACCAACAGCAGGTCCCTTCTCTCTGAACCTGTCTCTTTAGGGGAAAGAAACAGAGAGCTGTCTTGTGTCTGTGCGGGTGACTTTTAGGAGATGGTTTGAGTCAAACCGTATTTTAAAAACACTGCCTGTGCTCAAACACTTCAAATATTTTATTACTGGGTCTACAGTACATAACAAAGTAATTGTGTAATTAAGAGATAATGTCAGTGCTGTAGAACAATGTTGACAAGATAATGGCCTATCAAAACCACGCAAATGGCAGAGCAGGAGAACAGATTTATAGGTAGAAAAACAGAAAAGCAAACAGCAGCAGCCATGAAGTTCTTGGCAGTCCAAGGTGATGCGTTTCCCTCAGAGCCGAGTTGCCATGTTAGCTTCCAAGCTCTGACCCACGGCGTGCCCCGAGTCCTTGTTGTGTATCCCTCGAACATTTGGAAACATCTGTGTCCAGACGGAGGAAGGCAGGTCATCTGGATTAACTAGTCCTGGAGCTCAGGGAAACCGGAAACTGACATACACACCACAAAGCCTGGAAGTGACAGTCACTGAAGTCATTCCCCAGGGTGCCCAGAAACAGAGACAAGACAAGGCCAGTGTGGGAGACCTGGCCCTGGGTAGCCATCGGCTGATTCCTGGCTGATTCCTGGGTCTTTGCCCAACTCTAGCCAGATTCCCTTATTTAGAACCAGTTTCTTCTGAGAGAGGAAGGAGCTGGGGACAGAAAGGAGGCAGCCTGTGGCCTTAAAACTCAGAGAAGTCCCACAGGATCAGGTTTACCCCCAATGCCCTGGGACTACCTAGCAAAATGGAAGTCAGGAAAATGCAGCTCAGGTGATGAGGGGAGCCAGTTCACAGGAGGGAAAAGAGGCAAGGCTAGACACCAGACACGGGAGAAAGGGACCTTGCCTGCGCCTGCGTGAGTGCTGACATTTGGAACAGAAGAACTGAATTGGCCACGTTGGTCTGTGACTGGATAAATCACCAGTTTCCCCTTTCTGGGCTACAGTTCCCTCTCTTTTGAAATGATAGTTGATGAACCCAGTCAAATGACCCCCAGCTAAGGTTGCCTTCTATTTCCAACTAGTCTCCCTGGAGGCTGGGCTGCCCCCAAGCTAGCTGCTACAGGAAGTGTCTCCCAACTCTGACACACACAAAACCCAGGGAAATGTCACACGGACTTCACAGTGCCTGTGAAGCTTCAAGGTGGGAGCGCCATGAGAGGTGGGAAGAGAGGTTGTGATTTCAAGACACGCCTGACCCCAGAGTAAAGTCAGGGGACAGGCTGGCTAGTGGCATCTCTGTGGACCACGGAACCAAGGGGAAAGGGGCGGGGCTAAAGAGATGTGAGTTCCGTCCTCCCACAGCTCCTCACCTCCCTGGGGCTCCCTCTACTGAGCACTCTTTCCCTCCCATGGAGTGGCTGTCTCCCACTGAGAGAGTGTCTGACTGCTCCAGGTTGTTAATTACTGTCCTCGTCCTGTGGGGTTTTTACCTGCAGACCTGTTAAGGCTGACTTCAGGTTAGACCTCTTGAGAGCACAGGCTGTCTCCGCAAATTGAATAATGAATGGTTCCCTAGACTGCTGCGCCATGGAGGGAAAGAAAGACAGAGAAGGATGGAGGAGCAGGAAGAAAGGAAGGAGAGGGAGGGAGGGAGGGAGGGAGGGAGGGAGGGAGGGAGGGAGGGAGAAAGGACGAGGGGAGGAGAGAGGGAGGGGAGAAGGAGGAAGAAGGAGAAAATGGATGGAAGGGAAGGAGGCAGGAACAGGAAAGGAGGGGGAGAGAGAAGAAATAAAGGGAAGGAGGAAGGGAAGAAAGGGAGAGGACATGAAAGGAAGCAGACAATGGTTTAAACGCCTGCCCTCCTTCCGGACCACAGAAGAAGCCCCGCCCAGCTTGGCCCGGTGTGCTCCTGAGTCTGTCTGTTCTCTGTTCCTTTCCCCCATCTAAGGATCACACAGAAGGTAAAGTAGACACTCTTCCCTCTGAAGGTCTTTTCACCCACCTGCCTCTGCTCCCTGCCCAGAAGCCTAAACAAATCCTAAGACTCAAATGCCTCCCTTCTGAGAGCTTGAACCCTCAGTACCTGGGCACAGTGGGAGGATGGGCGCAGGGGAATATATACTCGTTTGGAAAAAAAAATCCACCTCCCTCCCTCCCTCCCTCCAGTTATGGCCCCAGATGTGCAGCCAGCAGCCAGCGGCCAGCAGCCAGCTCCTTTGAAGCACACTGATATCCCTCTCACAGACAAGGACAGCAGAGTTCTGCTTCTTTCCAAATGGCACTCTGTTTTGCTAACGTAGTTTTTATTTAAAAAAGAAAGAGAGAGAGAGAGAGAGAGAGAGAGAGAGAGAGAGAGAGAGAGAGAGAGAGAAAGAATTACAATGAAAGAAGTCAGAAGCCCCCGGGTGGATGTTCATAGGCATATGGTTTTGACAGGTGGCAATCAACTGAATAATCCAACTTCCTTACAGGCTTTTCTGTTTCATATGCATCCATAAGCATTTTCCATGTTGCTACCCTGACTCCCTAATTACCCCTTTAATGGCTGCTTAATATGCCATCAGGTTGATGGGCAATAATTTACTTAAGCATGCCCCCCCCCCTTTAGGATCTAACTTTCTAAAACGTGAAACAGAAATGGAGCCCTGCCATAAATGGTGAAAGCAGTGTCTCTCCACAGCATCATGAGTGGTCAGGAAGTGAGTGGGTCTGGGGCATGAGGGTGGGAAGGACTGCAGAGGGGACATCTGCTCCAGCCCCAGGGACTGCCCTGTGCAACTGAGTGCTGCCTCTGAGGGAGAGACAGTCACTCACGCTCTGGAACACTAATAACGATAATCATGGTGAATACTGATTCTGAGCTCTGCACTAAATACATAGAAGTTGTATCCCTGGATTCTCTCAGCCAACAAATCAGACCCTGCAATCACTCCACTCCGAATTCGACAGATAAAGGTTACAGGGGTGGGAGGAGCTCTGGTCCCTGGAAAGACTGACTCCAGGGCCCCTCTCCCAGGCCCTGTGTCCGGACCCTCTGTGGTCCCAACCCCCACAGCACAGCACGGGGCCTGTGGAGCCTAATCTTAGAATGAGGTATCCAGAGCTCTGCAGACTTCATAGCTCTTTCTTTTCTTAAACTTTATTTGTGTTGTTTTCTTAAGTGTGTATGTGTGTGAGTCTATGTGTGTGTGTCTAAGTGTGTGTATGTGTGTGAGCACACACACAAAGGCATCTATGCCTATTCCTGTGCATCTGTGTATGGAAATGTGCGTGTGAGTTCAGTACTCTAGGAGTCCAGAAGAAGGCGCCAGCAGATCCTCTACAGGTGGCATTACAAGTGGTTTGTGGGTGCTGAGATTGAACCCAGGCCCTCTTTAAGAGCAGTAAGCGTGTTTAACTTCTGTTCATTTCTCCAGCCCGCATGGGAAGCTTTCTAACCCCTCCACTGCTGAGTGTCTTGCAGATGGAATTCAGGGGCATGCATTGGTGAGAAGAGCTGACCCCAGTGTCCAGGAGTAGGGACACCCCGATCTGAGTTTGCATTCTGAACTCAGGACTTCATCAGCTTCATGGCTTCCTGTCATTTGTGTCTCTTAAGCCCCAAGTGCCTAGTCTGTAAAATAGAGATAATAAAGGGTGCCTCTCAGGGTGCCTTCAGCATCCCAGATAGCAATGTATGGCACCTGCAGCGTTCAGTTATGTGTGGTTGCTCCCATTATCTCAGGAGACCAGATGAGAAAGCAACACTAATGGGACACATTCCTTTTAGTTAGATGCAAGGCCTCTCCGACCCAGTACAAGACAGAAGAAAAATGTGAACATGAACTCCCGAGGCACGACAGCGGGGTGTTGGCGGGAGAATTAACAGTGGCGGCAAAGCTGATGTGGGCTGCGGGACAACCCCGTGACACTTTCATCTCACATCACCACTGTGAGTACAGGCAATCATTATTCCCGATTTAACGTTACAGAAAGTGGGGCTGACCAGGTGGCGCAGTGGGTAGAGGTGCTTGCTGCTAAGCCCGATGACTTGGTTTTGATCCCAGAACTTGCACGGTGGAAGGAGAGAATCGACTCCCACGAGTTGTCCTTTGACCCCCACACACATACTGTGGCATGCACACACACAAATGCACACAAAGCCAGTTTTATTTTATTTTTTTAATAAAAGACATAGAAAAAACTAAGGCTGCCTGTCATGCCCCAGCAGTCCTTGCTGGGAAGATAACAGCAGACCGTACAGCATGAGAGAGCCATTAATCCCATGTGCTGTGCTGGGTAGAGTGCCTTGGAGGGTCACTGTCAGCTCTGAAAGGCTCCGGTGTGTCACATGGAGAAGAGGCCCTGTATTCATCGCATGTGTGTGATATAAACATCCATGGCAACGTGTGATTGCAGTGTATCCGTCTCGTTATCAGTAACCGTGGGACCGATCACACCAGTCACAGGAAGTACTTAGCAAAGCACCTGGGACGTAAACAATGTTCTCAGGGCATTCACGGTTATGGTGTCATAGTGTCATGGTGTCGTTCTTGTGGGCAGGAGTCTGGGCAGCTGAATTTTTCTCTTCATCCTGCATGGAGTCTCACAGATGTTGCCAAGGTGACCACATCCAGGTTGGCCTAGATACCAACGTGCCCTTCGTTACCCTGAAAAACCGCTTACAGCTGCTTCATCCTGCCGTCGCTCACTTAGCATAAGCAAAGGCAGGCCCCGACATGCCTACCATGCCTACCATGTCAGTCTGAGCTCCGTGGCTCAGTTTCTCCTTTGCACTCCAGGCCACACTGACATCACGAATGCCCACCTCAAGACCTTCAGACCTGTTCCCCCAACCTGGCTCACATTCTGGAATGCTCCAGCAGAATGTCTTTGTTTATCACCCTTTCCTCTGCCCCTCTTCCACCTTCCTGGTTCACCCTGAAGCGCCTACAGACTCATTCACACTGAGGGAATAACGCGTGACAATGTTTTAAAGTGATGAGGAAACCTTTAGCTCAGTGTGAAACAGAACTTAAGTGCCAACAACAAAACCCTGGCATCAAACAGGCTGTTTTGGGGGCGTCCATTTGCTGGGAGGGGCCCCATATAACCCCCAGAAGACATCCTGGTGGCAGGTTTGATTTACATTTGTTCCCTGGGCCAGTATATAGATGGCTTCCTCCTTCTCCACTGTGCCCCATCCTAGCCTTACTTGGCAGGGATGTTCTTACTTGGCCAGGGACAGGATGTAGGGGCAGGAGCATTTTGTTGGGCAATCAGGAACACCTCTCTGAAAAGTATGTCAATGACCTGGGGAAAGAGAATTGCTGATACACCTTCAAGGTGCAGCAGCAAATAAAATATAGACGAGGAGATAAGAAGCAAAGAGAGAGATCTCATGAAGGGGGCTGAGTTTCCAGGTGGCACCTGAAAATGGAGGTGGCCAGAGGAAGCATCCAGGACCCAGACTCCTGGAAGAATTCTCACCACCTAGGACTAGGATGAGTACCCAGCTCTGATATAAGGGACGTGCACATATATGAGCAGACTTCATATTGTATACACGCAATGCATGCTTGCTGTGTGAAGAGCACCAGGGAAGGATGTAGGATGTGGAAGGCTGTCTACTAACAAGGATGTTGGACATACCTTGACAAAAAAGATAGTCCTGTTCTCCAAGGGCCTTATAAACTAGCTGAATGGATGGAACAGAGGCAGGTGCAGCCGGGAGCTGTGAGTGTATCTGCAGAAAGGTCATGAGGTTAGTGGACAGCGAGACTCCACAACCCTTGCCACAAAGCCAGAATGGCCAGCATAGGTACTGTCCAAGAAAGGAGAGCAGCGGCAGCAGCCATTTCCTAGACTCTGCAGGTAGGAGAGCAGGCTCTGATGGATGGGTCCCTCATCAGTCTTCTTCTAAAATCTAGAGTGAGCACAGCTCAGGGGTCATCCCACCCCAGTTTCCCTGGGAAAGTAAGAGAAAGGCCGTGGAGATGACCCCCATCATCTTTGTTAGAGGAGGAAACACTGTTGCAGAATTTACCGAGCAATTAACCTGCAAAGCCACAGAAATACAGATGACCTGACAACTTAGAAATCATGTAATTTATCCAATTAAACATTTTACACCGTTGTAACCATGTAGGTTCACGTATTAGTAACCTCAAAGGTCTCTATTCTAGACACTTGGGATTTTTTCAGCTTTCTACCCAAATACATTTGTCTATGTAATTATATCATCCATGGCACAATACTGGCACAATTATGTGGGATTTCATTTAACTCTTCATTTTTCATTCTGTGCCCCATATACTGCTCAGAGTTTGTGCAAGGTGCTCAGAAGCATGCTGCCTTCAGGGAAGCATTCTTTTATTCTTTACCTTCACTCTGGAAAGCCCTGTGCACGTCCTCTTGGCCATAAAGAGTTCCTTGACCAGCCTCATGTTGCTTCCCTGGCCATGGTCTCCTGTTACCTCATCTTGTGTGGAGTAGAGAATAAACCCTTGAAGAGTGTTTTAGATTCGTTTCTATTGCTGTGATAAAATGTCCTGACAAAAAGTAACAGAAGAGAAGAAAGGGTTGATTGTGGTTTACAATTCCGTTATTACAGTCCAATATTCTAGTTAGTCAAGGCAGGGACTCCAGCAGCCAGTCACAACACTCCCACAGTCAAGAGGAGAGAGAGAATAAATGCATCTTTGCTTGTCTGTGCACACTAGCCTTTTCTGCTCTTATATAGTCCAGGATGCCAAGCCCAGGGGATGGTGCCACCCACAGAAGGTTGGTCTTCCCAGCCCAGCTAACAATGAAGACAGTCCTCCACAAGGCATCTTCCATAAACTGCCCCTCACTGAGGCTCTCTTCCCAGGGGGTGCTTGGTAGTGCCCATTTCACAATAAAAATTCATCCCAATGAGCACACACACAAATATACACATATACATAAATAAAAATAAAAGCTTAAAAATAAGTATGACACAATGGGTAAAGCCACTTGCTGCCAAAGCTTGTGACCTGAGTTTGATCTCTAGGACTCACACAATGGAAGGAGAGAATCAATGCTTGAAAGCTGTCCCCTGGAGTCCATGTATGAATTATGGTACATACATGCTTCCCATCCCCTGAAATATGTATTTGCATGCACACGCAAAACAAGTAAATGAAATGTAATAAAACTTATAACAATATTTTAAATACAATAAGACAGAGAAACATAACTCGGGCCTGGCACCACTATTTAACAAGTGTTTACATTCGGTCCTCTTAACCCTGTGCTGTATGTAACATTATATAGCTATGGCAGTATCATGTGCAGAGGCCATGTGCTGCTGACTGGAACAGCACTATAAAGTCCATGACTGAGCACATCAGGTGTGTAGTACTGTCCTGAAACTATTCTGTGATCCTTCTTTGACCAGGCTACAAATTGGTATCTGCAATGGTTAATGTTGACAGCTGGATAAACAGAAGGGAGAATGTGAGCAGAGCACCAGCATTCACTGCGCTCTGCTTCCTGACTACGGCAGCAATGTGACCAGCCGCCTCAAGATCCTGCCACCAGGACCTCATCTCCACCACAGGCTGTGCTATCATGCCACAGCAAAGACACAAATAACTAATATAGTATCATAGTGCATGTGCACGATCGTGGCACCATACTGAACATGCAGGATGACTTCAACCATACTCCATAACGGGCATCATGCTGAACATATTTTAAGTAACTTCTCTTTAGCTTTCAACTTTATATTATCAATCTGTAACCACACTGATATACATAGTTAATTTAAAGATATCTCTCTCTCTCTCTCTCTCTCTCTCTCTCTCTCTCTCTCTCTCTCTCTCTGGCCAGAAGAAGGCACTAGATCCCCTGGAGCTGGAATTACAGGTGGTTGTAAGCTGTCCAAAGTGGATACTAGGAATCAAACTCTTATCTTCCTCTGGAAGAGCATCACGTGCTCTCAACCACTGAGCCATCTTTCCAGCCCCTCATCATACTTTTAAAGGACAGTGTTAGAGAGGGAAAAACAAGGGCTTGCACCCAGCAACTCAATGAGAAGAGCTCACCAGTCACACTGAAGGGCTTGTTTTCTTCTTTCCTTCTTTGGTTTATATCCGCCTCCTTGGGGACAATGGTGCAGCTCTCTTGTTCTGCACTGATCGTACAGCAGCCTTCTTGCTGATCTGAACCCCGGGGGCTGCGGTGTCAAAATATTTAGCTCAGGGGGGGAAGATGGTTCAGCAGGTGAAGGTGCTTGCCATCAAGCTGAGGATCTGAGTTCAATCCCCAGGGCTCACCTGTGGAAGGATAGAAAAAAAAATCACTGCAAGTTGTCCTCTGACCTCCACACACACCATGATATGTATGTTCACACACTTACACAAAATAAATTAGTAAATGTAATTTATCATAAAGCCTTTTTCTGGGGATTCAAGACCCCGTTTGTAGGAGTTCTCTAGCCAATGCCTGTTAGAATTCTGCCCTCACTCCAGCTACATGACTGCACATGTGCAGTTCAGGAGTTAAGCAAAGGGCCTTGCGTTTTACATCATCAGTGTATACTGGTGATCACATACACGCAGCATGGTCGAACAATCTGCGCATGCATGGTGTGGCCCTGTAAGTCCATCTGCACCTTAGAGAGCCGTGACTCAGACCTCTCTCTCTCTCTCTCTCTCTCTCTCTCTCTCTCTCTCTCTCTCTCTCTCTCTCTCTGCTCTGCTCTCTCTCCCCCACCCCACCATCTTTCCCTCTGCTCTCGTCACGTGCTCCACCACCCCCTTCCTCCTAATAAAACTCTGAAACGAATACTGGGTTCTGTGGTGATGTTACCTTCCCACCGGCAACCAGCGCTGCCATCAGCGCCATTTATCTTATCATTTCAATGCCCCTGCCAGAGCCCTTCCATCTGTCATAGCCCAGTGGATCCACGCCATGCCCTGTAGGTTGAGCTTTTGGAAATCTGGACACACATACATCCATTTTGCCTCACAGAGTAATAAAATCGATCCAACAATGTTCCTGAAAGGCCCACATGAACGTCTGTTTCCATCACGGCCTCTGACTGTGGCAGTTCCCAGGGCAAACCTCTTACCCAAGGCTGGGCTCTCCTTCCAGGAAACCAGTGGGTTACAGGAGACCTCATCCACCCTCTGCCCCTTTCCCTTCCCTGGGTAGTAGGAGCGTGGCTCCACAGGACAGAGCTCACAGAACTCAGGCCCACAAGTCCAGCCAGCCCTCCCTCCCCTGAGCTGCTTATGGAGCTGTAATTTATCTGCTGAGGAGAGGCAGGAGTGGTCCTCATTGGTGACTCTCGGCATGTCAATCAACACCTCCAAGGAAAGCATGCTGGGAGACAGACTTGTGGCCTGCAGAGTTTGTCACTCGTGGTTTATGGTGACCAAGGCAGCCCCTAGAGGCTGAGCCACGTGCTTGCAGACAAATGTTCCAGCTGCATGTGGGTCTACATCTGGCTCCAGCTGGAACATTGTGATCAAGCCAGCCGTCGAACCTTGGGCCCTGTCTAGTTCATCAGAATCTACAGCCTCCTCGTCCTGTGCCACTGACTCATCTGGACAGGGTGGTATACCTGGCTCACCTTCTGGGACTCTACCTTATTTGGGTACCAGGTACCTCTTATCCACCCTCTCCTCTGACCAGTCTCAGCCTCTCTCTCTCTCTCTCTCTCTCTCTCTCTCTCTCTCTCTCTCTCTCTCTCTGTCTCTCTCTCTGAAGACTCCATTTCACTCCTTGAGTTATTGAGCTCACTGTGGCCAAAGAACAACACTGTGCTTGCAGGCGTCAGAAGGTAAGCATGTGGCGAATGTTCTGGAACCTGACGTGGAGACCCCTGGCGCTGTCAGTTGCTGACTTCTCTCCCTCTTAGGGCAGATTGTCCAGTTCCAGGAACCTCAATATCCTTGTGAACTTTTCAAGACGGAAGGACTAACAATTTACCCTTGGCTTTTGGATGGTAGGTACATGGTAGACAGTGGCTATGACTTCAACCATCAACACAGAGAAGGATAGAGCTTCGACCTTATACCATGTTGAACCTAGAGTTATACACTAAGAATTTCAAAGGAAAAGCTCCAGTTCATAATCTTGAGAGCTTTGGGTCTACTGGGGAGTCAAGGAGTTAATCCCACCTTAGAGAACAGTAACCGTGGCTAACACATGGTGGCACAGAGAGCCGGTATCTCCAAGAGTCACAAGAACTAGAGATTTAGGGCTCAGAGCTGTGATGGTTAGCTCTGCAATTGACCCCAAGCCGGGACTCTGTGGCTGAGGGGTTTGAACACCAGCTGTCCAAGACACTTGCAAGAATCCTCAGCACCTCCACCCCCATCTAAAAGTAAGAATGCTATGTTTGGGCTGTCCCTAAGGACTGTTTCGGCTCTTATAGTCTAAATGCTTTAAATTCTCTCACTTCAGACAACTACCAACATGCCTGCCTTCTTCCTGTGAACATTTCTAAGGTGATAAACAAAACAAGGACTCCTGCCCAAATGGTGCTTTACACTTTAGGGGGGCAGACACAAATGCATGGGGTGTCAGGTGGTGAGAAGGCTGGGAGAGCAGTTAGGGGGAGACCTGGAAGAAGGGAAGAGGCATCAGGCAGTCTTGAAAGGGGAAGACCTCCCCGAGAGGGAACAAATGAACAAAGCCCTGGAGAAGAGTGACAGCAGCTACTGGGACAGGGCACCAGGGAGTGGTGGGTGGCCTTGGAAGTGTGGGCGGGAGCTGATAGCACTTCTCAGTTCAGATGTGAGTGGGTAGATGTGGGGAGAGTGGGGTCAGGAAGATGCCTGTGATCATGTAAACACGGGTAGGAAGGCATATGGAGGGACAGGTACATGGGGGGTGGGGGAGAGGTAGATGTCGAGAGGAGAGGGGCGGGTAGGTGGCTAAGCGGGGTTAGATGCAGGGGACAAGTACACACATTGTGGGCGGAGATGGATGGTGGGGTAGATGCGATGGCGCCAGCAGGTGGGTAGAGGACGGGCGTTCTTGTCCTGTGATTGTCCATGATTCCTGTGCTAACAATGAAATGGGAAGCAAGCCCATCCACCGAGAACAGGGGTGGGAATGAAGGTTTTGAAGATCAGAACTGAAGAGAGAAGACGACCTTTGTTATCTAGGAGAAGAGCATCGAGAATACAGGAGGAAAATGCTCCCTGCCTTCCTGTACGTGAATGTAGAAGATACTGTTCTGTTGCTGTGATAAGTGACTTGTAGAAGAAAAGAGTTTATTTGAGCTTCTGGTTCCATAAGGCAGCAGGCAGACATGGCGGCAGGAACAGGAAGCTGAGAGATCACATCTTCAACACAGGCAGGAAGCAGAGCAAACTGTTGTGGAATCATCTTTTTGTACACTATGAAGATATGTCTTTGTCAAGGTGCCTTCTGATCGGTCTAATAAGAGGCTAAATGACCATTAGCTAGGCAGGAGAGTCAGCCAGAGAGAAGGCTGGGAAGAAGCCAGACAGGTGTGGAACGAGTTGGACACAGAAAATGGGATAGAGGTAAAAGCCACGTGGTAGAAAGTAAATTGATAAAAAATATGGGTTAATTTAAGTTATAAGAGCTAGTTAGGAACAAGCCTAAGCTATCAGCCTTGCTTTCATAATTAGTAATAAGTCTCAGTGTCATGATTTGGGAGCCGGCAGTCAGGACAGAAGAATCACCTACAGCAAACTGAAAGTGAGATGAGATTATGCACTCCCAAAGGCCACCCCCCAAGACACGCATACTTCCTACAGCAAGGCCACACCTCCTAAATCTCCCCCAAACATCACCACCAACTAGGATCCAAGTGTTCAAACACACAAGCCTGTGTGGGATGTTCTCATTCAGCCCACTGCAATAAAACATCCTCTCTCCATTCATACATTCCCTCGGCACAATGTGAGTGCTCCAGGCTAGCCCCGGGCTGGTCGGTACAAGGTCAAGAGTCTCCAAGGGCAGATATCACACCTCTTCATTGGCCCAGCTTGTCCCTGAGACAAAGATTTGAATGCAAGATGTCTGATGCGGAGAGAGTAAGACACAGAGACGGAGCCGGTCCTGGTTAACACTGAGGGCAACTGGGGACAAGCTTGGTCCCCTGGGGACCTCTGCCCGGTGAAGGGATGGCTCCATATCGTCATCCCAGCTATGAAAACAGGGTGTTTAGCCAGCTCCTTCAGATCTGTGGCATGAAGCTGATGCTGGCTGTGTGGGCTCAGGCTTCTGCTACAGCGAGTAAGGAAAGGCCTTGGGCTTACAGGAAGCAACTGTCAGAACACATAAGAACAGAGGGTCGATAAAAAAGAATCAGCTGTCAGCAGCGGCTACCAGACTTGGGAGTGTCTTGGTTTAAATGAAAAATTAGATGTCGCCCTAAGTATCAGGCACAGTCCCTTCCTGCAAAGAATGAATTTATTGGAGGAGTCTGAGAATAGCCTCTAACCTAGGAGGGGCGGCAGAAAGAAAAGAAACCACTTGAGAAAAGCTGAGAAACACAGACAAAGGCCAGTGGAGCCTAGCTGTTACAGAGTAAGAGACAGACCAGGTCTTTATGCATGAGCATGGGCCAAGGGGTGGGGTGTTCCACAGAAACAGTTCTAGAACTGGGTGCCAACTGGGTGAGCAGAAATACAACAAGAGCATGGATGGGGGGGCAGGGGGATGGACACAAGACAGGTGGCAGCTGCTATCCTTGAGACTCAAGGCTTGGTGGAGAAAGGAAGACAGACAGATATCAGAGCCCCCTCCAGCCACCTGCATCCTGCCGGCCTGTGAATACCTTGATACACAGCCAGATCTGCTGGAGAAGATGCTTTGTGGCTTGGTACCTCTTCTTTGGGGAAGCATAAAACAAAGAGGCCTTGTCTGGATTGTTAGAAACCGTCTCAGAAATACAGCTCTGACTGCCAGCCTGCCCGCTCCAGGCACCTTCAGGAGACACATGACCCAGTACCCTCCCTCCTGTAAATACAGCTCTGACTGCCAGCCTGCCCGCTCCAGGCACCTTCCAGAGACATGGCCATGACTCAAAACAACAAACGACCCAGCATCTTCCTCCTTGTAAACAACCACTGAAGTGTGGGGAGTTTGGCCTGTGGTTAATCTGTCCTTGGTCCCCAGACTCTTCAGAGGGGGTTGCTGAACACTCCAGTTGCTGCCTCTGATGAGAATAAATTAATTAGTGTAAAAACACACAATCACAGGCCACTTGGGCCTGGGAGTCCTAATGAGGGATGATTGCAGATGCTGAGTCAGGCCGGAGTGGCCCTGGGGCCTGATTGCTGTTCACTCATGGCTTCTGTACAACTTTCCTTTCCCCAGCCCCTGTCTCCCGACCCTGTGCCTGCACTGCACACTCCTTTCCTCGGCTGCTCCTCTTGCCTGACTTCCTGCCAGAGTCAGGAACTTCCCAGCCCGACCTCCAGCTCTTCCTCCGTACCGTGATAGCGACACTGATGGGCATTGTGAGTTTCTTTATGTGTGTTGATTTATACAGGCTCGAGAACATTCAGGGGCTCCCTATGGCACACAGAATGAAATCTGCTCAGTGTCTGCCAAGGCCTTACAGTTTCAGAGGTTCAGTACATTATCATCATTATGGGGAGCACGGTGGCGTGCAGGCAGATGTGGTACTGGCTTCATCTTGACCAGAAGGCAGCAGGAAGTAAACTGACTGTCACACAGTGAATCTTGAGAAAAGAGACCTCAAAGCCTGCCCACAGTGACACATTTCCTCCAACAAGACCACACCTACTCCAACAAGGCCACACCTCCTAATAGTGCCGCTCCCTTCGGGGGGCCATTTTTTTTTTCAAACCACTCCAGTACCTGATGCATTTAAGTACTTGGTGCTTAGGTTTCAATCTGTGAACACTTGAGTGTGTGACCTGAATGTATACTCCAGAAACGTCCCAGAGGAAAGCAACATTCCTATGTCCAAAACTATGGGAGATTGGACAACACTTCCCTGAGAGAGAGGCCTCATGAGTGCAGGGCTCCTTCCTCCACAGCTCATCGACCCCATGACAGCATGCTCCTGTTCCTTCTGGTCTCCACTTAGTAGCTCTCGGGTTGCAGGATCTCCTGTTAATGTCCTCATGCTTCCTGACGACCCCAGACAGTTCTGCCAGGACCACAGAATGTGACAGGTGATACATTGACTTGGGGGTAGATTCCAAGTGTGGCATGTCCTCCGCCCCAGAAGATTAAGAGCCACCTGGTCCTTGTCACATCATGGCAGAGCGGAGGCTAGGGCTGCATCCAGCAGGACAAGCATCGTGGGTTCTTAAAAGCTCCAGAGACTGGAACTGAGAAGACGGCTCAGTTGGTAAAGAGCTGCGGATGAACCACAGTGTGAGTCTCATCTCCGACATCCGTGGGGAAAGCCAGGCACAGTGGCCTGAGCTTGTAATTCCAGTGCTGGAGTGTCTGAGACATGAGAACTCCTGGGGCTTGCTGGGCCAACCAACCTGAGCCTAACTGATGAGCTCCAGGCCCCAGAGAGGGGGCCCATCTCCAAAATCAAAGCAGACAGCTCCTAAGGCATGATGCCCGAGACTAGCCTCTGTGTTCCACATTCATGCACACATGGGTGCTCTTACACCCTGTCTTAGTTTGTTCTTAATTACTGTGGTAAACACCGTGACCAAAGTCAAGTTGGGCAGGAAAGAGTCTATTCATGTCATAGCTTGCAGTCCTTCATAAAGGGAAGCCAAGGCAGGAACTCAAGACAGGAACCTGGAGGTAGAAACTGAAGCAGAAGCTTGCTCCCCATGGCTTGCTCAGTCTGTTTACTTAGACACCCCAGGGTACCCTCTCAACTTTGACAGCACCCACAGTAGTCTGGACCCTCTCACATTAGTCAAGAAAATGCCCCATAGACATGCCCACAGACCAGTCTGATGGAAGCATTAACATTCCTTTTCCCAGATGATCCTAGCTTAGATTAACAAAAAAATAAATTAATTAAATTAAAAAATAATTGCAACTATATCCCCACACACATCTGCACACACATCAGTATGTAAACACACACACACGCACGCACGCACGCACACACACACGCACACACACACACGCACACACACACACGCACACACACGCACGCACACACACACACACACACACGCACACACACGCACACACCAGAGTTGGAGCCTAAAGACCACTCCGCTCACCCTCCTTGTTTTCAAAGATGAAACCAAACCCAGAATGGATCTTGTCCAGCTGAGAAAACGGGGAGAGGCCCAAGCTCCCAAGACCCGGGCCTCCCTGGTCTTTCCCACACAGCCCCTCTTCTTGGCCTTCTCAGCCTCCTTTTGCTCATTACCCAGGTAGACACAGGCTCCTGTGAGACCGTCACAGACAGCAGAGTGGCTGATCCGTGAGAGATAAAAAGGAAGTTCAGTTCAACACACCTCAGTAGCCAGTGTGGGTTCAAGTTTCTGGAGTCTGACTCCAAGTAGTTTATCTTAGGCATATTCAAGCACAACACAATTTGGTGAACATTATTCTGGTGATAATTAACTCAATCCTGTGTTACAACAAAACATAAATAAATCACCTTGAGGAGGCAAGTGAATTAAGTACACATCAGACAGGACTGTGTTGACACTCGGTGAAGTCCATAAAGACAGGATCCGTAGGTTCACCGAGAAACACAGGGTCTGGGGAAGGGTCCAGTGCCAGAAGAGTCTGGAGCCGCACAGTAGAGCAAGGTCACCAGGCTATTAAACATGCTCACTCCCAGCCTTCTGGGTGGAGCATTGCATCCCTTCCCTGGAAGGAACAAGCCCTGTGCTTAACATTCCGTGTTCCCTACTGCTTATCTGTGAGCCCAAGGACCTGTGTCTCCTACATGGCACCCCAGGGACATGGTGAGTCATGACAGTGTCTGTTGAGTGGATGAGCAACCTCTAAGATATCACACCTAATGCTTTTGGATAAAAATCTTCCCTGGGCCCATCGAGATGGCTCAGTGGGTAAGGACATCTACCACCAAATCTCATGACCTGAGTTCAGTCTTTGGAACCCACATGGCAAAAACAGAACTGACTCATGATAGTTGGCCCCTGACCTCCATATATGTGCCATGGTACTTGTATACACACACACACACACACACACACACACACACACACACACACGCACCCAAATACATAAATAAAATAATTGTAAAAAAAAATTTAGAGGCATAAATATTTGCCTAAGCAGGCAGCGAGTTACTGTGAGTGAGCATTAAGGCTGCCTCACAGTCTTCAATTGTTCCGTTTTACTACGGTTTCACTCTCTTGCTTTTAAAGAAAGCTCTTCCTGGAGGACCAATAGGAAGGCTGGAACAACTGTTTCCCAGACGTCCCCACCTCACCGTGGAGTTAGCATTTGCAGGCAGGGCTGAGGAATGGTTTTGCTGGGACTGAGCCCTGACTCTCCCTTCCTGGCCCCAGGGGTGTGAGGCGAGTTTCAGGGGGACCATGACAAAGAACCCAACCTGGAATCATCCCTCAACCCTTCTCAGTCTGTTAAACAAGGGAAATGGATTTGAAATTGAGCACATGTCAGGGCAGCCTTGGAAAATCACTTTTTTTTTTTTTTTTTTTTTTTTTTTTTTTTTTTTTTTTTTGGTTTTTCGAGACAGGGTTTCTCTGTGTAGCTTTGCGCCTTTCCTGGAACTCACTTGGTAGTCCAGGCTGGCCTCGAACTCACAGAGATCCGCCTGCCTCTGCCTCCCGAGTGCTGGGATTAAAGGCGTGCGCCACCACCGCCCGGCGGAAAATCACTTTTATTAATCAACAGTGATTGCATTTTTTTTTGAAGGTACAAAATGGCTGTAAGTTCTCCAATGAAGCGAGGATCTTCAGCAAGCTGACCCTGGTGCTGGGTCCTCAACTCAGATCCCAGGAGAAGGCTGGTGCCTCACTCACCCGGGAGGTAGAGGAACCTGTCTGCAGGGGCTGTATAAAGGGACTCTTCCCCATCGGGAACCCAGAACGTGCACATGCACGCACAGGCTCCTCCGTTTCGTGGTGATGATGACTGGCTCTCTCCTTCCACCATGTGGGCTGCAGGTGTCGAACTCGACTCATCAGGCTTGGTGGTTTGCGTTGGAATTCTGGCTACTCCTCCAGCACATGAGCAGTTCAGTAACCAAGGGGCCTTACTTCCTCCTAATTTGATTTCGCAATACGCGCAGCATGGTCATGCACTCTGCGCATGCGTGGCATAGCTCTGTAAGCCCACATGCGCATGTGCAGGGGAATCCAAAAGAAGCCAATCCCTCCCCCCTCTCCTCCTCCTCCTTTCTCTCTCTCCCTCTCCCTCTCCCTCTCTTCCCTCTCCCCCTCTTCCCTCTCCCTCTCTTCCCTCTCCCTCTCCCTCTCTTCCCTCTCCCTCTCTTCCCTCTCCCTCTCCCTCTCCCTCTCCCTCTCTTCCCTCTCCCTCTCCCTCTCCCCCTCTTCCCTCTCCCTCTCCCTCTCCCTCTCTTCCCTCTCCCTCTCCCTCTCCCTCTCCCTCTCTTCCCTCTCCCTCTCTTCCCTCTCCCTCTCTTCCCTCTCCCTCTCTTCCCTCTCCCTCTCTTCCCTCTCCCTCTCCCCCTCTTCCCTCTCCCTCTCTTCCCTCTCCCTCTCTTCCCTCTCCCTCTCCCCCTCTTCCCTCTCCCCCTCTTCCCTCTCCCTCTCTTCCCTCTCCCTCTCCCTCTCTTCCCTCTCCCTCTCTTCCCTCTCCCTCTCCCTCTCCCTCTCCCTCTCTTCCCTCTCCCTCTCTTCCCTCTCCCTCTCCCCCTCTTCCCTCTCCCCCTCTTCCCTCTCCCTCTCTTCCCTCTCCCTCTCTTCCCTCTCCCTCTCCCCCTCTTCCCTCTCCCCCTCTTCCCTCTCCCTCTCTTCCCTCTCCCTCTCCCTCTCTTCCCTCTCCCTCTCTTCCCTCTCCCTCTCCCCCTCTTCCCTCTCCCCCTCTTCCCTCTCCCTCTCTTCCCTCTCCCTCTCTTCCCTCTCCCTCTCCCTCTCTTCCCTCTCCCTCTCTTCCCTCTCCCTCTCCTTCTCCCTCTCCCTCTCTTCCCTCTCTTCCTCAGGCCTGGTCAGGATACCTTCTGTCCCTGCCCCCTCCCTTCTAATAAAACTCTGCTCTGATACTGGGTTTTCTCGTCCCTCGTGACCTTTCTCGCACAGTAACAGCACAGCTTATTAAAACCAACAGTTGGCACCTTTTACCTGCTGAGCTGTCCCCCAGCCCCTCCCCCCCGTCCATGCCCTCCTCTTGCCTCCTCTATAATGAGAAAGTTGGGCTAGATTAGCCATCCTCCACTGGGAGCAGACGTCCTAGCTTCAGGGGTCCCCACAACTTGGGGTGTAACTGCATGTAGTGGGTTCGGCCGTGAATGCTAAATAATGTATAATATGTGCTTCCCTGGGTTGAAAGAATTCTTCCTCTTAGAATACCAGAAGCAAACTCACGAAGAGACTGGGTAACTCTGCCCTCCTTGGTCTTCCAGGATGGGCACATCTGTGACTCTGCAGTTCTAGCTATTCCTTCCTTCTCTCTCCTCCGCTATCCCGAGTCTTCCATTCCAGAGCCCGTTCAGTGAGCGACAGCGAGGGTCCAAATGCCGCTCCTCCTCTCACAGAGCTTGGGTTTCAGGGAGAAAGATGGAAAATGACCCAGACACAGCAGAGCCA